TCCTCACTTTACTAATAAGAAAATCAGGGCACAGAAAGGTTACATAATTTTACTCAGGGTCACGCATAGAACTGTTTCGTGATCAAGGTGAGATTTAACCACAATCTGACTGTGAAGTCTATGCCACTTATGGTGTGTGCCCATAGCACTTGTTGACTTTTTTGGGGGGAGAGCTGGGTACTGGGGATTGAACCCAGGGGTGCTCAGCCACTGATCCACATCCCCAGCCCTTTTTTGTATTTTATTTAGAGACAGGGTCTTGCTAAATTGATGAGGCCCTTGCTAAATTGCAGAGGCTCGTGTCAAGCTTGGGGTTCTCCTGCCTCAGCTTCCCAGGTTGCTGAGATTATATGCCACCATGCCTGGCTAGTACTTGTAATCTCTTGGTTTTATGCACCTTATTTATTTTATTTCCTGGGGATCTGCACCTGGACACCTCTCAAAATGTCAGCTCCATTAAGACATGGTTTCTTCTGTTTTGTTTACTATTGTATCTCTAGCACCCAGAACAGCATCTGGCTCATTGATTCAAAGGGTATTTGTTGAATAAAAAGGTCTTTATAGAGGATACTATATAGGCTGTACTACATTAATACATTCTAATATCTCAGATAATTTATTGGGAGGGGAGAATGAACAATGAAGGAAATCTGAGAAGTCCATCACAGTGCGTGAATGGAGAACGGTTATCAAAGTCATCTACTTTTCCTCACTAGAAGGGCTTCCATCCCTGCTTGGATACCACCGAATACTTGTAAACTTTTGCAGAGACACAGGGTAGTAAAAAGAATCAGAACTGTACATCCATTGTGTAGCAGTGAAGTCATCAGGCACTAATGGGCTTCAGCATGTGGTCGGTCTCCTCTGATCCCCTTCCCTGCTCTGTAGAAGAGATTGCCAACACTCACAGGTTTGTTTGGATTATAGGTCAGAATCTGGAAAGCTGTAGTAATCGCCCTTGGAATGTAAGTAATGGTAGGAATTATTGTGATAATGACACTATTTCTAGACCAAAACTATACACACACACAAAAACAAACAAACAAACAAACAAAAAAACTACCCCAGATTAGTTTATCAGTATAGAGTAGATGAGTTTAAATAAACTAGCAAGTAGGCTTCTTAATAGAATAATATATGAAGAGTTTGTCTGAATCATGTGTGAAGGTTAAGTATATGAAAATCAACATTATAAACTATGTCAGGACAAATACGAATGTGACATCCTTATCTCTAGTCATTTTGCAAAACCAAATAAAATTTAGTGTCCATTTTTAACTGATACTGAGCTGATGATGAAGAGCTTGTATATTAATCAGCTTCATACATACACTGAGGAACACTATAAGTATCCCTAATTAGGGAAGAAAAAGATTGCCTGCTATTACTATTGTATTATAACCTTATTTTAGTTCTGATCAAAATTTCATAAAATTTTCAAAGTAAAACAATAGTAGTTGTTTGGACTAGTAAAAGAAGATACAAAACAGACATAACAGGTGTAAATATTAGGAGAGATAAGCTGGGTGTGGTGGCCCACACTTGTAATCCCAGCAGCTTTGGAGGCCTAGGCAGGAGGATTGCAAGTTCAAGGCCTGTCTCAGCAACTTAGCCAGACCTATCTCAAAATTAAAAAGAAAGACAGACAAACAGACAGGGTGTAGCTTAATGGTAGAGTGCTTGCTTTAAAGATGAGGCCTTGGGTTTCCTCCATAGCACTGCAAAAATAAAACAAAACAGTTCCCAGAAACTAGCCAAGGGTCAACTTTGTAAGCAGACCTTTCAGAGGAAGGTAATTGGGCCTATTATGGCAACTCTTCTGTACATAGTATTTAAATTTTTTTTTTCCCAGAAGAGAGAGGTTGATTAGCAAAGGTAAAATTAGAGAGGAGAACTGGAAAAATAACAAATGATGTCCATTTTAACACTGCTCAAGAACATGAACAGCATGCATGGTGAAGATCCAAAAGCCATCTTCTCAGTGTGGAAGACACTTAGTCAATCTGCCTTCTCTGAGAGATCCTTAATATCATTCAAATTATTCTCTGTGGTTTTGTTTTATTTTATTTTATTTTGGCCCTGGGATTGAACACCAGGGGTGCTCTATCACTGAGCCACTTCTCCAGCCCTTTTTATATTTTAGTTAGAGACAGGCTCTCGCCAAGGTGCTTAAGGTCTCAGCTTCCCAAGTTGCTGGGATTACAGGTGTGCACCACCATGTGTGGCTTCCCTTTGTTTTGAATGCAAGATATTTCTAAATTATCTTAATTATTTGTTTAATATTTTTGGTATTGGCATTATATTCACAAAGTTGCAAAATAAAAAATTTCAGATAGGCACTGGGCACAGTGGCTCACATCTATAATCCCAGCTACTTGGGAGGCTGAAGCAGGAGGACCACAAGGTCAAGGTCAGCCTGGGCAACTTATTGAGACCTGTCTCCAAGTTAAATTAAATTTAAAAAGAACTGGGGATGTAGGTCATTGGTAGACCATTTTTTAGTTCAATCCCAAGAAAACTAAGAGTTGCAAAAGACTTTTTTAAATGTTGAGGAATATTTGGATAAAGAAACCAAATGGTGGTGCATGCCTGTACTCCCATTGACTCAGGAGGCTGAGGCAAGAGGGGCACAAATTCAAAGCCAGCCTAAGCAACACGGTGAGGCCCTAAGCAACTTGGTGAGACCCTGTGTCAAAATAAAAAACAAAATGGGCTGGGGATATGGCTCAGTCATAAGGCACCCCTGGGTTCAATCCCCTATACCAAAAAAAAAAAAAAAAAAAATTAAAAAAGGAACCAAATGTTAATTATGGAAGTGAAAATATTATGGTCATCATTTTATTTATTTATTTGGTTCTGGAGCTCTAAATCAGGGACACTTTACCACTGAGCTACATTCCCAATGCTTTTGGTATTTTTATTTTGAGATAGGATCTCAAGTTGCTGAGGATCTCGCTAAGTTGCTGAGACTGGCCTACACCTTGCAGTACTCCTGTCTCAGCCTCCGGAACAGCTGGGATTACTGGTGTGTGCCACCATATACCTAGTCTATACATTTGATTTTTTACAAAAAATTTTCTATAGGGGTTGGGGTTGTTCTATAGGCACTGGGTTCGATCCTCAGCACCACATAAATGTAAAATAAAGATACTGTGTCCACCTAAAAACTAAAAAATAAATATTAAAAAATTTTTATAGTTGTAGATGGACACAATGTCTTTATTTTGTTTATTTTTTATTGTGGTGCTAAGGATCAAACCCAGTACCTCACACGTGCTAAGCAAGTACTCTGCCACTAAGCTACAGCCCCACCCCTATACGTTTGATTTTAATAGATACTACTAAATTATCTTGTAGAGTTTGTACCCATCTAAATAGGAGTGTTTTCCCCCATGTTCTTGCCAGGAGTATATATTCTCAAACTTTGGAAATTTTGCTAAACTGGTAGGTCAAAAATGATATTTTAGCATAGCTTTGATTTTATTCTTATTATCAGCAAAGTCTATTCCTTTTTCTATGAATTCTGTTCTTATACTTATTTTTGTATTGAGTCAGTGAACTTTTTTCTTTTGGATTTGGAGAAGGTCTCTATATATGAAGGAGATTAGTCTTTCATGATGTGAGTTTCAGATCTTTTCCCCAGTTAAATTTTCCCCAGTTTATCTGGGGGATAAACTGGGGAGAAGATCTGAAACTCACATCATGAAAGATGGCTTTTGATTTTAGTTGATCCTGCATTTCCCTATGCACAATTTTTATGTAACTTGGTTTATTAATCTTAGTCGTAATATCAAGGTCTTCTAGGTCATTAAAATAATTCATATTTTCTTTCACTACTTTTATTGTTTAATTTTTTGCATTTAAATCTTGGAAGTATTTGGAATTTATCCCAGTGTGTGGCATGAAGTATTGAGTCAATTTTTTTTCTAGATAGCTATCCACTTTTTTTCAACCATTTTGAGTTGTCATTGCTAGTGGAGACACCGAAGTCCTAAGTGTTTCAGGTCTAATTTTGGACTTTGGTTCTGTTCCATTTGTTTTTTGCCTGCTCTATGCCAGTGACACACATTTTTCGTTATAGTAGCTTTAAGGTGTGCTTTAGACTTTGAGCCTAGCTCCCCCTATGCTCTTCTTTTTCAGAGTTTTCTGGCTAATCTAGTTTTTGCATACGAACTTTAGAATTATTTTTTCACTTGCAGGAAAAAAGTTTTGGCTATTTTTGTTGAGGTGGGTTTAAATTTTAATAAATTAGTGTAATACATTTTAGAATGGTTTTGTCTCTAAAAACAGTTTGTCTTTCCATTTGTTCAAGTGTTCCTTATCACATAGGAACATTTTAAAGTTTGTGGACTTATTTGTTATTTTTGTTTTTTTCCATTTTTTACTCAGTTCACTCCTAGAAATTTTGTCTGTCTTATTGCTTTCAATCAGGGTATGATTTTACTTCCTATGTAGATTGGCATTTAAGGAAAAGATATCCTTAATTATGCAAAGCATATTCTAGTATTTCAGCTTAATTTTCACTGTAAGTCGATACATTGACATTCTGCTATAATAGAGTGTCCGGTGTGGGCAATGACTATGATCTTCAGTAAGAGATGGACAGTAATCCTCACATACCAGTAATTCAGAGTTTGGAGCCTTCAATGCAGAAAGCCAGATTCTAGATCTTGGAAATTCATCCTTGTATATCTGATGTGTGTTGCCCAGTGGGGTGGGTGATTTCTTAGTAAATAGGTGGATCACCTCTCCCCATAGTGCTACCATCATGTATGTGCCTTTATTTAAAAGTCAGTAGTTCGTCTAGTAAACTTGGAGACCCTTTCAGCAAGTCCATGCATGGTCTTTCGATATGAGGGCATATTTGCAGTGGTGCTGATGTTTCTGCAACTATTCATGAGTTAAAGGGCCTAATTCATACCAGAGGGCTTTGGGACATTACTAAGTAACCGCTGTTGGTCAAATCTTTAATGAAAGATTTAAATTCTTATATATTACAGAATTTCACAAACTTGTTTGGACAGCCACTAGTCTGCTTGCTTTCTCCTACGGCATACCCAAAAGCTTTACAAGGTATGTTCTCTCAGTGCTTGTTACACCTGTAAGTCACAAATGAATAGTATCTGCATTTTGAATAATACTGATCTTTGTTTTTCCCTCTCACAATGATTACGAGTGGATTTATGGTGTCCGTGTGGCAGGTGTCAATCTGTCATATAATCAGAAACCTTGCCAACAACCAGACATTCCTAACATGTTAGGCCTTGAGATAATTCCTCCCTGAGAAAGAGGTGGTTGGCCCCTTGCTGTTGGGTACCTCATGATTTATAAACTATAATTTTGTTTTACAGGTGTGTGTTTTGATTTGCTTCTCATTATCCATACATACCTTTGATTACATATTTTAGGCATCTTTCAAGACCACAGGATTGCTGGTCTAGGAAACTTCTCAGCCTATGCCTCAGAGTTAGGTTAACCTATCTGGCATAACTTAAAGGGTTTATTTTTTTTCCTCCATTTTTACCTTGTAGTACTTTTTAAAGTAAAAGAACCTCTTCTAAGTCTGCCAGAGAGACGAGTTAGCAGCTGGGCGTTTTCTCCAGTGGCTGAGAATTGACAGACTTTTTGCCTTTTCTGATTTGTACTTAATAGGTAACACATAAAACCTAATTCTAACTCACAGTCATTGAGAAGGTAAAATACTAAGCAAACCATAACGCTGTTTTAGCAGTACTTGTCACTGTTTCACTATCTCCCTAACTGTGAATAGTGCTGATGTCTCTCTGTGGGAGATGGCATTTTACTGCTACTTCCCAGCCAGAAGTCCTGTCTGCTGACATAGTTTGACACAGGAAGTGATGGTCAGCATTTGAATGCCTGAGAGAAGCTGGAGACTTTCACCGTTGTTTTAAGGTAAGTTCTGCTGTTTAACAGGGAAAAACATATAGAAATACTAAGCTCATGTATCCAAAAGCCAAATTACTAAGGGATAGAACTTACCTTCAAACAACGGTAAAATTCTCCTGCTTTGAGGATTTTGTCATCCTGTTTCTTATTATTTCTGGAGGAGTGTAACCCCTTCAACTCCTTGAGTGCTTTTTGTTGTCATTCTGTCTGTCCTATGATGATGCAGCTTTAGTTAAAATTATATGGTCAGGGCTGGCATGGTGACGCACACCTATAATCCCAGTGACTCAGGAGTCTGAGACAGGAGGATTGCAAGTTCAAGGCCAGCCTCAACAACTTAGCAAGATCCATGTCTCAAAATAAATTGAGGGGAAAAAAGGGTGTGTATGAGGGTGGTGTAGCTCAGCAATAGAGTGCTTGTCTAGCATAGCTTGCAAGAGGCCCTGGTTTTGGTTTCTAGTACCAAAAATCAAATAAATAAGTAAAATACATGTTCAGGATTGGGGATATAGCTCAGTGGGTAGAATGCTTGCCTATTATGTCTGAGGCTCTGCGTTCAGTCCCCAGTGCTGCAAAAATACAAAAATAAAACAAAAAAGAGTTATATGGTCAAAGGGGTTAATACCAACACTGTTTATCTGTAACAATTTATTATGTAGAGGAGGAAAAAAAAATGCAGATTCTGAACATAGACTGAATTTGAATCCCCGCCCAGCCGCTTAATTGCTATGTGACCTTGTAAACTTACTCAGCCATTCTGTACCTCAGCATCTTCATCTTTCAAATGGAAATAATAATAGTACTTATAATGCTAATAATGGGATAATACTAGATATTCAGCATGTACTATTATTATCATTAGTGTGCTTAGTGTAATAAATGTCCTTAATACTTTTTCTTTAGGACCTTGTCCTTGTCTATAAGGCTTAGATCTCAGTTACATTAAATAAATTATTCAATTACATAGACAAATTCAAAATTCTGTTGTGACAAACATTTAGGATTTATCCAGTGACATTATTGCTACTCATTCTACAAAGGGTGCTTGTCCTTCGCCTAGGCACTAAGTCGCAGATAGGTAAGCCTACAGCCCTTATTAGCCAAGGCTTAGCTTATTCATTCAACAGTTATTCAGCCTGTATTTATCAGGCATTGTGTTAGGCTCTGGGAGTGGACTCTGGCCTTGTACACATGGTCACATTTCTCGCAGAGCCACAGTCTAGAAGATAGAGAACCTAACAGGCAAGTGCCTAAGTGCTCTGTGTGTTTCGTAGGTGGTGTCTAAAGTGATGTCCAAAAAATAACAACTTGATGTCAAGGGCATGCAGACTTACATGGGGATGAGAAATGACAGAACAAGTGTGTGTGGTGGTCCTGGGATAGGAGGGCTCTTCTAGCTAAAGGGTACAGTTTGGGATATTGCAACTGAATGATGAAAAATCTCCTAAAACTTGTTTAGTAATTTGAATGGAGGACTGTGGGTGTAATAAAATTTTAAACAGAGGAATAGCATGCAAGAGCAGTCAGTCAGCCCGCAGAGGATGAGTTGGAGAGGGGCACTGAAGGGAATAGGGAGATGGTGGGGGCCAGAGCGTGGGCAACTGCCTAGGTTGCTGGCATCAAAGACTCTAAGCCCATCAAACCAACAAAACTGTGATGAACTTGTTGTGGGAGGACGGAAGAACAGGGAGGAGGAGTAGACTTTAGGTCTCTGGCTCAGTGCTGGAGGAGTAATGAGAATTGAGGAGAAGCCTATTTGTGGAAAACTAAAGGGAGAGGGACTTGCTTAAAATTGCTGACATGTTGAGTTTGAGATGTCGTTGACAGTTACTTTGAATGTAGGAGACTAGAGTGACAACATCCTATCAAAATGTAGAGCAAGTCACATATTTCATTGTAATTCATTGTAAATGTCTGGTGCCTACATTTTTAAAAATAAAAAGAAACAGGTGAAATGGCTGTTAACAATATGTCTCTTTGTACTTTCACTTGACTTTGAAATCTGGGGTGTCTCAGTGGGTCTGAACTTGGAGCAGTCTCATTTTTTTTTATACATTTATTTTTTAGAAGTAGATGGACACAATACCTTAATTTTGTTTATTTATTTTGATGTGGTGTTGAGGATTGAACCCAGGGCCTCACACGTGCTAGACGAGCACTCTACTGCTAAGCCACAATCCCAGCCCCGAGCGGTCACATTTTTAAAAAATATTTTTTTTAGTTATACTTGGGCACAATACTTTTATTTGTTTATTTTTATGTGGTGATGAGGATCAAACCCAGAGCCTTACACGTGCTAGGCAAGTACTCTACCGCTGAGCCACAACCCCAGCCCCTGGAGCAGTCATATTTTAAGTGTTCATTAGCTACCACAGGACAGCATGGTATTGGCTCTAAGGAATTCTGTCTGGGCCACATGAAGAGAATATAAATCAATAGGCATATAAATGGCTACTAAAATAACAGAAGTTGGTGCTGTCAGCAGTAAGGCCAAAGTAGGAGACTGTTGATATTTAAGGGTTAATCAGAGAAAGTGCAACTAACAAAGGAGAATGAAAATGATTGGTAATTCATAGTACTTACCTGAGAATTCTATCTTGGATAGCCCATCAAGATAATCTATCCAGGCTTGGTGGTGCATACCTGTAATCCCAGCAATATGGGTGGCTGAAGCAGGAGGACCAAAAGTTTAAGGTCAGCCTCAGCAATGTAGCAAGGCCCTAAACTTAAGTAAGACTCTCAAAATAAAATTTAAAAAAGGGCTGAGGATGTGGCTCGCTTGTTAAGTGCCTCTGGGTTCAATCCTCCAACCTCCCCCAATAAAAGATTATCTTGGCCACATTTGGATTAAATTTGTTAGTTGGGGTTAAAAAGTAGTAAGGGATATGTTTATTTGTTTACTAGACTCTTATTTTAATTTGTTCAGCAGAAGACAACATGCTTGGTGTGTGTTTTTTGTAAATTTATGCAGAATTTGCCAATTTGAATTACGTTTTAATGATTTAGCCTTAATTTTATACATTATCAGTATACTAAAATGTTCCTCATGTATGTTTTAACCTTTTGCAAAACTGTTGTCTATATATGTAACATGTTTGTTATTGCAGATCAATCTCAACGAGGTAGCCTCTTCACTCTCTTTTTGAACAATCCTCTCATGGCCTTCCTATTTGTCTCTGGATTGTCAAGCATGCGTAGAGGCCTATGGGAAAAGTGTCAAGAATATCTTCGAAAAATCAACCGTGATATTGCCCAGCTACTGACCCATTCACGTTCAATAGGTACCCTACTAATCTAACTGCACACTTAACAGAATGTTCTGTAATGGGTTAAAATGCTTACTTATTTTAAATTGTTTTAACTTTTAAAGGTATTTGTCCTTGGCAGGAAAGTCAAGAAGGCTTTCCTGAAGTTTCTTCCCCTTTGAAATGTAGTTGTTGTGTAAGCCTCCTTCTACTGTCACCTTTGTCCTCTTTGCAGATCAGGCATTTCTGCAGTTTTTTGGAGATGAATTTCTTCGTTTACTTCTCACAAGATTTATCTTTTGTTCAGCCACCATGAGGATGCACAAGATTTTTCGGGTAGGCAAAGAATATTAATTTACCATTTTCACCAATTTTACCATTTTAGTTATTTAAGAATCATGTATTATATTTTGCTTATATTAAATAAAGTTTAAATAGATAAAAAATAATGTTTAGAAATGAATATGTAAAGTATAAAGATTAATGATATCAAGACACATTTGAATACCTACCTTCCTAATTAAGACCATCTTCATTACCTTTGAAATCCTCTCTAGGTCCTCTGATCCTCCTATCTCCTTTGCAAATGCAACTGATATGCTGAATTTTATGGTTAAATTTGCTTCACTTTATAATTTTGTCACATGTATTTGTGGGATTTTTTTGTTTTGTTTTTTTTTTTTTGCAGTACTGAGGACTGAAACCAGGGACACCATATTGTTAAGCTACATCCTCAGCCCTGTTTTCTATTTTATATTATGATACAGGGTCTGGCTGAGTTGCTTAGGCTGGCTTGAATTTGTGGTCCTCCTACCTTAGCCTCACAAGTACCTAGGATTTAGAGGTCTGCACCATAGTGCCCAACTTATGTTTGTATTTCTGCACAAGATATTGATGGATACATATTGGTTTTTTTCCTTCAGTTATATTCTTTTTCTTTTTAATATTTATTTTTTAGTTGTATTTGGACACAATACCTTTATTTTACTTACTCATTTTTATATGGTGCTAAGGATCAAACCCAGGGCCCCACACATGCTAGGCCAGCGCTCTACCGCTGAGCCACGACCCCAGCCTACTCCTTCAGTTAAATTCTTGAGATTGAGCCATATTGATGACTCCAGCTTTCTTTCACTTGTTTTGGCTATATAATATAAGGCATTATTTGACTATATGTCATAAATTATTTATCCATTCTATTGATAATGGATATGTGGATTATTGCCAGATATTATTATTACGTAAACAATGCCACTATGGAATTCTTATGTCAGTTTCCTGGTGCACATATGTAAGATTTTCTCTGGAGAATATACCTAATGGCAGCCTTGCAAAGTCAGAGGATGTATGCATATTTAGGTTTATCAAACCATTTTCCAAAGTCAGTTCGTGTTCACACTCACACAAGCAGTGTGTAAGAGTTGCTATTACTCTGAGTCAGTGTGTAAGAGCTGCTATTACTCTGAGTCTTCCTTGCCAGTACTTGTTGAACTCATACTTTACATTTTATGTGAATCTCATATGTACAGAGTCATAAGTTATTGTGGTTTAATTTTCTTCTCTAGGTTTACTGTCAAGGTTGAACTACTTCTCCTAAATGTTATTCTGTGTTCCTGTTTGTAAGAAATGTACTCAAGTCTTTTGCTTGACTTGATAGTTCATTTCACACTGTTTCTTTTTGTGTATTCCTGTACCTACACATTATTCCTTGAGGTTTTTAAAATGTTAGCCAGCCAGGCATGGTGGCACACACCTGTAATCCCAGTGACTCAGGAGACTGAGAAAGAAGGAATTCAAGTTGGAGGCCAACTTCAGCAACTTAGTGAGACCCTCAGCAACTTGGTGAGACCCTGTCTCAAAATGAAAAACAAAAAGGACTAGGGATATAGCTCAGTGGTAAAATGGTTCTGGGTTAGATCCCCAGTACTAAAAAAAATTAAATTAAACGTTGACAATTATATTTTCACTTCTAGAAGTAACATTTGGTTCCTTGTTTTCTTTTTTTTTTCCCTCCTTTTTTTATTTATTTACTTTTATTTTGTCGTAATGAGGATTGAACCCAAGGGTGCTTTACCACTGAGCAAGCTCTTTTTATTTTTTACTTTGGGACAGGGTCTCACAAGTTGCTTAGGGACTTGCCAAATTACTTAGGCTGGCTTTGAATTAGTGATCCTCCTGCCTCAGCCTCATTTGGTTTCTTTTTCCAAATATTCCTGAACATTTTAAGAAGTCTTTTGCAACTTTCAGTTTCGAAATACTTTTTTAAATTTTATTATACAGTAAACAGTCATATATGTACCCTATATGATCTATAGTTATTTTGATATGTTTGCATTCCATTTACTTTTCCCTCTTTCTGTTCACCAGTACATCTTTTTTTATGCATTTTGAAGTAAATCGTGGCCATCCCTAGACTTTCCTATCAACATTCCATCATGTATTTACATGTTCACAGTCTTTATTGAAAGTTTATATATAGGAAAATGCATACAACTAAGTATGTGATTGGGTGAGTTTGAGGAGGACATACCCTGTGTGACCCAGACCTCTATCAAGTTACACAGCGTAGCATCGTTCTAGAAAGTCCCCTGCATACCCCTTTCTGGTCAGTCCACAACCCAGTCATATTTAAACAGTCATCTGTTGATGAACACATGGGCAGTTTTAAATTATTGGCTATTATAAATAAAACTGCTTTTCCTTATAAATAAAAAGGCTTGTGTATGTTTTTATACAGACATGTGTTTTGACCATGTTTCTTTGGTCATGGAACTGGCATGTGTTTAATTTTTTTAAGAAACTACCAGACCTTTTCTTGAAGTGTTTGTACCATTTTATACTCCGGCCGACAGTATATGGAAGTTGCTCTGTATCCTCAACAACGTTTGGTGTTTCAGACTTTTAACTGGTGGGTATGTAGGGATAGCTCAGTGTAGTTTTCAGTTTGCATTTCTCTAGTCAATGTTGACATTGAACATCTTTTCATGAGTTTATTTTGTCTCATTCTGTGACTTGAAGAATCTGAAAAAACAAAAAACTAAATAATTTTTTTTTCATTTGTAGTTTGTGTTTTTGTGTATTAGCCAAGCATTCTTTGCCTGTCTTGAGGTTACAAAGATTTTCTCTTATCTTTTTTCCTAGGATTCTCATAGTTTTAGCTTTTACATTTAGGTCTACAGTCTATTTTGAATTAAGTTTTGCTTCCAATGTGAGGTAAAAATTAAAATCTATTTATTTGTTTGTTTGTTTTTGTAGTGCTGGAGATTGGACCCAAGGGCACTCTACCACTGACTTACATCTCCAGTCTTTTTTATCTTTTTTAAAACATTTTGAGACAGCATCTTGCCAAATTTTCAGGACTGACCTTGAACTTAAAACCCTCCTATCTCAGTGTTCTTATTTGCTGGGATTATACCCATATGCCACCAATCCCAGTTTAAAGTTTAATTTTTTATTTGGATATTGCAAATGTTCTAGTACCATTTGTTGAAAAGATTATGTTTCACATACAGTGTAGTTATGCTACAACAGTGTATTCCCATGTGCTTCCTCTCATCATCTGTACTGCTACTGACCATCTGCCTTTTACATATAATATATACTGTGAGATACTGTGACTATCATAACATTTAACAATTGTCTTTTTAAAAAATCTTAATGAGGAAGAAGACTTTTTGTTTGATTTGGTTTGGTACCAAGGATTGAACCCAGGGGCACTTAACCACTGAACCACTTCCCCAACCCTTTTTTGCATTTTATTTTAGAGGCAGGGTCTCACTAAGTTGCTTAGGGTCTCACTAAGTTACTGAAGCAGGTTTTGAACTTGTGATACTCCTGCCTCAGCCTTCCAAGCCTTTGGGATTACAGGTATCAACCACCGCACCTGGCGAGGAAGAAAATTTTCAAATATGTGCCATTTCTGACACTCTGTATTTCTGTGTATACATTATTTTTCATCTGGTAGCATTTTTCTTAAATATCAAATTTCCTTCATGTTTCTTATATTATAAGTATGGTGTTAATGAATTCTCTTCTTACTTATTTACCTGAAAATAGTCTCATTCCGACTTTTTTTTTAAACTCTCAATTATTGAGAAATGTGTTGTTTTATATCCAGTGTTTGTTCATGTTCTGGATACTTTCTTCTTTTTTATATCTGATTTAATTCCTATATGGTCAGAGCATATATTCTGCCATTTGAATTCTAAATTTATTAAGACTTGTTTAATTCAGTGTGTATTCTATCATTATAAATATTCTGAGGATGCTTGAAATGATGGTATGTGCTAGTGCTTTTGGATGAAGTGTTCCATAAGTATCTGTTAGATCCCATTGGTTTATAATGTGGTTCAAGTTCCTTATACTCTTTCTGATTAAGTCTACTTGTATAGTAATTATTGCAATGTGTAATGTGTCTTTTCATTTTCCTCTGGCTGATTTTAAGATTTCCTCTCCATCTTGTTTTCTGGTCATTTGATTAGGATGCACTTGAGTGGTTTTCTTGGTTGTTGTCATTGCTTTTCTGCATGGGATTCATCAAGCATCTTGAATGTCTGGTTTATAACTAAAAGAGTTTTTGGCTATTTTTTTGGCCACTACCTCTTCACATACTTTTTCTTCCATCCTCTTCTCTTTCTGGGATGTCAAGTACACATATGTCATATAACTTAACATTGTTCCATAGGCCACTGATGTGTCCCTTCCCTTCCTTTGCTTTTCCTTCCGTTTCTTCTTATCCCACCCCTTTTTCCCTGTGTTTCACTGTGCATCGTTTCTTTGCTACGTCTTTAAGATCTCTGATCTTTCTTTTGCAGTGTTGAATCTATTAACTCTGTCCAGTTAGTTTTTCATTTCAGATATTAGGTCTTTTCATCTCTAGAAGTTGTGATTGACACTTTTTAATATCTTCCATTTCTCTTATTTGATTTCAGTTTTTTGAATGTGAAAGTCCTTATCTGCTAGTCACATGTTCCATCATTATAAAGTTAGAAATACTTATTTCTCTAAGTTTTTAAGCTCATTTTTAAGCTCTCATTATAGCTGGGTGCGTGGTGCACACTTGTGTTCGCAGTGACTTGGGAGGCTGAAGTGGCATGATGGCAAATTCAAAGCCAGCCTCAGCTGTTGAGTGAGGTCCTGAGCCAACTTAGTAAAAACCTTTTTCAAAAAACAAAGAGGACTGGGGTTGTGGCTCAGTGGTTAAGCAGGGTCTGCTTACATTGTTTTCCCAACTGGTTGTAGGTCTTGTATACCTGGTTCTTTATACATCTACAAATTTTGTAATATAGCACAGAAAATAGACACTGTGAATTTATTCATTCATTTTGTGTGACTAGGAATTGACCCAGGGACACTTTACTCCTGAGCTACATCCCCAGTTCTTTTTATTTTTTAATTTTTACATAAATTTTTTGTACTGAGGATTTAACCCAGGGGTGCTTTATTGCTGAGCCACATCCCTAACCCTTTGTATATTTTATTTTGAGATAGGATCTTGCTACATTTCTGAGGCTGACCTTGAATGTGCCATGCTCCCACCTCATCCTCCCTGTCTCTAGGATTACATGCGAGCATCATCACAGCTGGCTGAACATTGTGAATTTTGTGATATTGAATTCTGGATTTTGTTGTCTTCCTTTAAAATTTATTGGAGAAATTGGGTGTGGTGGTACACACCTGTAATCTCTATGACTCAGGAGGATGAGGGAGGAGGATTACAAGTTCAAGGCCAGCCTCAGCAACTTAGTGAGTTGCTTAGGAAGGCCCCAAGTACTTTAGTGAGACCCTGTCTCAAAATATTAAATAAAGGGCTGGGAATGTGGTTCAGTGGTTAGGTGCCCCTGGGTTCAATGCCCAGTACCCAAATAAATAAATAGATAAATAGACTATTTAGACTTTATTCTGGCAGGAATTATTTTAGTTGTGAATTTCTTTCATCTTTTGCAGCTACTATTAAGTTTTTTTTTTTTAATATTTTTATTTTTTAGTTTTTTTTGGCAGACACAACATCTTTGTTTGTATGTGGTGCTGAGGATCGAACCCGGGCCGCACGCATGCCAGGCGAGCGCGCCACCGTTTGAGCCACATCCCCAGCCCAGTATTAAGTTTTCACAGGTGGATTTAGAGTAGACTTCTTAGGCCTAACAGGCATCATTCTTTTTTTTCCTTTTTTTTTAACTATTTTTTAAAATTTTTTAATTTGTTCTTTTTAGTTATACATGACAATAGAAGGTATTTTGACATATCATACATACATGGAGTATAACTTCCCATTTTGGGGGTTGTACATGATGTGAAGTTATACGAGATGTGTATTTATATATAAACATAGGAAGGTTTGGTCCAATTCATTCTACTGTCTTTCCCATTCCATTCCTCCTCCCTTCCCCCCACTGTCTTCTAGAGGCATCATTCTTTTGGGGTCTCGTTATACATTAGCAAATATTTTGTACTCTGAAGGATGTTTAGTAACTCAGACATCATCTTGCTGTGAGCTGAGAGAATTGTTTAACTTATTGTCCTGTAGCAGTTCTTGACTTTTTTGTTTTCTTTTTAAAGTTTTGAAGCATTACAATTTTCTATTCTTCATATTATTTGTGTAGTAAAGTAATGTTGGCTTTGTCATGTTATGAGTAAATCCTGTAGGGAGAGAGAGAGAGAGAAGTGACATTTAATATGTGAATTGTCACGTGAGATACTTGAAACAGTAGTCACTTATTTCTTTAGGAAATTGTAAATATGTGGCAGAAGTATAGTCTGTAGAATTACCAAGTGAAGAAAACTTCCAAACAAGAATTACCTGATTCTTGAAATGGTCTTTTTGCTTCCATGTCAAGCTTTTTCAGTTTTATTTCTTTTCTGCCTGCTTTTTTCCCCCCCAATTTTTCTTCACCTTTGTATATATCTGCTTATCTCCTTTCTTCACTCCTTTTCCTTTCTTGATTTTTTTTTTTTTTTTTTTTTTTTTTTAGAAAAAGGAAAAAGAAAGTTTATTGCTTTGCTAGCAAAGGAGAAACACAGAGGAATCCTATCCCAAAGGCGTGATTCTGCCCATCATCAGGAAAAGCGATTTTCACTCCCTTTTCTAGTATCTTAAAAATCTCATCCAATTTTCATTGCATCAATATTTATTTTTATGAGGAGTACATCAATGTTTACTTACACTGATTAAATCTATCTTCTAAGATACAGCCCTGAATTTTCAAATTCTGGTTATGGGGCAGTTCTAATCTATTTTGCCCTATTATCTCAAACAAAATACACTTAAAACCTGAAGCTTTATACTGACCCCAAATTATATCCTCCTGTATCTCCCTTTTTCTCTCAGTAGCTCCCAGCCCTCTGTCAAGTCATCCATTTCTGAAATCTTATTTTTGACATCTCCCTCTCCTATAATTAGTTATCAAGGCCCATTAAGGTTACTTAATGAGTGTTTCTCTTGTCTTTTCCCATTTTGATTTCCTGTCATCTATCTATTCATCCATTGAACAAAAATTTGTTGAAATTCTATATGTGCTAGGATTTTCCCCTCAGCAAGAAGGAAAGACAGTTTCCATATGACATAGAGCATCGTGCCTAGCAACCCATTCTTCAGCAATCGTTTTTGAAAAAACCAAGTAAATATATTGTTAAATCATGTGAAGTTATAATTTTTAGAGTTCTAAATGGTCAAATGCTAGTAATTCAATATGTTCAACAAACATATTTCTAGAAATAATCATACCATAGAGAAAAACAAATATCAGGCTACTTCTTAATACTGTATACCTTTTGCATATAATTTTCTTCTAATAAATAAAAAGCTTGACTTTTCTCTTTGCCTACCAGGAAACACGAAATTATCCAGAATCATATCCACAACTGCCAAGAGATGAAACAGTGGAGAATCCTCATCTCCAGAAGCACATTTTGGAATTAGCATCCATTCTGGATGTTCGAAATGTCTTCTTTGAAAATACCATAGATGACTATTAAAACCATCTTGTTGAAACAATTTTTCATTTTCCACAGATTTTAAATGGTGCAGTTTTCTAATGTGATGACAGACACATAGTGTGTTACTTAGTTTTTATTTTTTAATTTAGGACCACCATTTTAAAAGCAAACAAAAATAAAATGTTCAGACTTTTAGGGTAACTGTTTTAAAATGCAATCTTTCAAGTCTTTTAGAAAATCAATTAATCTTGTAATTTTTATGTTTTGGTTTTGATGTATGGATACTTACTCAAATAGTCACTGTTCTCACTCTGAGAAGAGTAAATCATTTATTTTTGTATAATGAGAAAAATCCAACTCCTGTACCTGGACCTTAAATGTCCAGATTTAAAAAACATATAATTATTCATAATGATGAAACTGGCCAGCATGGACTACTAAAAATCAAGATAAGAGTCCTTCCATAATATTTCTTTTCATTCCAAGTTAATAGGTGGAAAAATATATGATTTTTTGAAGCATGATTAAGACAGTTCTTGAAATCATTGAATTCTTTTAAATAGTGTCAAATTTTCAGAAATGGTAGAGGATTGATTTTCCTCTGAAAGCTGCGTCTTTGACTTGAGATAATATTACTTGGAATATCTGAGTACTGTGTTGTTAAGAGATTTTTTTTTTTTTTTTACATATTTTGATTTCTTTGTAGTCTTTGAATGCTGGAAATGAAAGGGAAAACAGCTTTTAAACATTTCAGTCAAAAAATCAGGTTGTTCATTTCATAATACAAGTCTCCAGTTGGAATTGTATTTAAATACTTAGTTCATGAGCTCATGTTTAAAAACTGAGGGCTGTGGTTGTGGCTCAGTGACAGTTTCTAATTTCTTTGTATAGTTCAAATGTATGAAACTTCAAAGTCAGAGATACTATTATTTTTAGTGGGGTAACTGGTTGTTTATGAAAATTAAACTATAAATTGATTTTTGCATTGAAATTTTGGAAATAAGATTTGTTTAAACTCCTTGTATTTAGTTACATTATATTCATGCAAATGTTTTATTCTTATTTTAAATGGGACTCAACGTATAATGTAAAATTTTTGTGTTTTCATTCCTTTCATCCCCTCATAATTTCACCAGCACTAGCTGTGAAGGTTTTTTTCTCTTCCTTTGATTATGCAGTATTTATATTAAGAAATCTGTAAATCAAAAGACCTTCTTCCTAATTCTCTGTAAGGTTTCACAGTCTACCTCTGGCTGTCCCAGGGGAAATTAGTGATTGCTTTTCATACCTTTTTCCTATGTCCATAGGGAAGTTTTACTGTAATATTTTTAACTTGGTTTTCATTTTTGGCCAATAATTTTGGGCCTAAATTTCCCCATACCTGCTCCACTTTGCTGATTTTTCCATGTGAAGTCTTAATGTGATTGTTCTTCGGTTTAGGGACTTCAGGGTGCTTTGTTTACCTTTTTGTTCTTTCAAGCAGTATTTCAGAATGCTTGGGTAAAGTTATCTTAGAATGTGATTTCTTTGGCTGGTGTGTTGTTTTTCATTTTCAGGTAGACCGATTTCCTTTTATTCCTGTACCTTAATATATGTCATAGAATTCCTTTCATAAGTGTTTACCTGAACCATAGCAGTAGACTGTCATGAGTTGACTGGCCTCTTGTTCCAAATCCCCTGAACTTCTATACCACTTATATTTCTACCAACACACATTTTCCTGATTCTCTAGTGTTTAAAATAATTTTCATTGTCCTGAGCCCTATCCTCACCAGCTAAGTATAAGGAATACTGGTCTGAGAACCAGGAGATCTTAGTTCTGATCCTAACTTTCCCATAACTGGCATTATGCCCTTTGACAAATGTGTTCATGTCTCTTCCTTTTACCAATCTCCCCCATACAATGGAGGGGGTGACCCAAGGTCCTTTGCAGCTCCGTGACTCTACCATTTGGATTCTTGGTTCCAAAAATATTGATTTCCCTACCCTCACTACCAGGGAAAAATGCTTTGTTTTTAGCACACACAGCATTCTTTTCTAGATCATATTTATTGAAACTCTGTTCAAGAAAAAACCTGGATTCCAGTTAGCTATTTTAGAGACCAGTTTGGAGAGAGACTGTCTTGAAGAAAGTAGCTGTCATGATTAGAAACCTGTCCACCTTAGGAAGCACAACAGGGATTTAGATAATGACATGGCCCTTTAAGCTAATAGTAATGTAATTCCTTACTGGTAGGCAGAAATCTAAATTGGTATGAAGGGATCTTGAATCTTTAAGGAGAGCAAAACTGCCATAGAAAATTCTAAGCTATTGTTTCATTCATGCCTTCATGAAAATTGTATATTATGCAACCAGATTTATTATACATTCCAGATTTTCTTCTGGGCCCTGGCGAAACAATATCCTTTTTCTTCATGACATTCACATTCTCAGAGAAGTCAGGCAATAAACCTAAGTAAAATTTATGTTAGCAAGTGATAAGTAGGATGAAGAAAATTTATATCATGGGAAGGGAAATCTTTTGTTTGTTTATTGAGAGAATATCTGTGTTTAAAAGAGAGACTAGGGTAAGCATCATTTGAGAATGGGGCGTCTGTACAAACACTTCATATTCTGTCTTTACTTTTTATTATGGAAGTTTTATACAAGTGATTAATGATTCCTTCTTGTGCCCTCTGCCTGGCCTCTAAGTTTTAAAGCATTAATCAAGGAAGAAGAAATGTAGAAGGACAATCACCTAATGGGCTCAGTGTGACCATGCCAGTGAATTTTATGTTTTAATTGCTTCCCACCTATCTTTATAAAAATCTTAAGCCCTATTTATTTAATTGTAGAAGTCATAAAAATGTAAATATTGGAACCAACAGCAGAGCAAAGCAATGGGAAACAGCTTCCTTTCAAATTGCACAAACTCCCTGGCGATTCTGATACAGTCTCTAGTCTCTCTTAAAAATGATCTTAACAAATTAGCATAAAATTGCAAGCAGTCCAGTTATAAACAAAACAAAATGAAGCATAATGAAATTTTCTCTTTATCTGATTTTTTCCCCTTAACCCAGGGGTGCTTTTACCACTGAGCTATATTCCCAGTCCTTTTTGTTTGTTGGTTTTTTATTTGTTTTTTATTTGAGACAGGGTCTCCCTAAGTTACTTAGGACCTCACTAAGTTGCTGAAGCTGGCCTTGAACTTGTGATCCTCCTGTCCCAGCCTCCCAAGCCCTGGGATTACAAGCATATGCCAACCACACCCAGCTTCTTTATCTGTATATTATTTCTCAAGTTGGTAAAGCAACCATCTTCCCTGTTTTATGGAAAAGAAAGCTGAAATCCAAAAAGCTTATCTGATTATTCATAATGATAGAACTAGAGTTCTCCTAGTCTCAGCCCATCTTCCCAATAGCTCAGACTCTTTTCTATAATGAACAAGAAAGTAGTTATTAGAGATTTATATTTTGACACAAAGGGTTTTGGTACTTTTTTAAAAAAAAACTGTATCAGACTTGAAACCAGTGAGTTAGTCAGTCCAAACAAATTTTTGTTTATTATAAAAATCAGCTATTTTATCTTTGATTTCATCCAGGATGTCCTATTTGTATGTTTGTGTTTTCCTCCCTAGAAAGTGGTGCTCTCAAAATCTCTCAAAGCACAGAATTCTTTGTGTCCTTTATATTTTTACCAAGCTAAACCATTTTGAGAGTTTAGAAACAAAGTGCAATCCAATTCTGATATAGGATCTGATCCACCCTTCATTTGTGGCTATTGCCATTCATTTTCTTTGTGCAATAGAATTCCCTGACACAAATTACTTGGTAATTGTGCTCAATTTAATTAAAGTAAAGGGAAAAGTGACAAATCAAATTTGTACATCAATTATGGAGCTTTATATTCTTCTCCTAGTTTAATCTCTGACCTTTGTGATTTAATAATTTTATGTCTCTGAGGAGTGGTTGGGATCCAGTTCAAAAAAATCTTGTACTCAGTTATCCATGGAGACTTGTAATCAGCCTAATCTCCAGAGAACATTCTGGACTGGAAATATAGTAAGGTGCCAAGGTCTGCAAACTTGGCCACTGACAGTAATTCAGAATCACCCACCCACCCCATGTGAGTAAAATACTTGATATGAATATGAATGCTTTAGGTCTCCTGGTGATGTTTTCGGTGTTATGTTCTTGTGTGTTTATCTGGAAAATATAGAGTATTTACGTTGAGGGCTCTATTTTGACTTATTTATTTGAAATTCTTATTTTTTATGGCATGTGTATATTTTTGTGATGCTAAATGCAATCCCTGTGTATACTTTTTGTACATACATGTACATATCTGTAAATATATTGGTATGCAATTATGTAGTATGTGTATATTATACACCCATACCCATTGTGGGCTGAATTTATTTAAGTTCTGTGAGGACATCCTAGTGGCATTGTTCGTGCTGCTGTAATTAGGTTGTGGCTGGATCTCATTCACAAGCCTCTATTTTGAGGGGCTTGTGTTGGGATAAAATGAGCTCATTTAGAGTTGAAATTAGGATATGAAGATCTTAACAGAAAGCTGGACATGCTTAGCTTTAAAATAATCTGTAAACTTCCACTTAAGTGGATGATAAATTAATGATATGACCCTAAAAAACATACATATGTGAACTGCAACACCAGCAGGTTCCTAAGTTGTATTACTCTTTTATTTGCTTGACCATATTTATCATTACTGAATAATAAACTGTTATGTTGGGAATTCATGTAGGGGCTATGGAAAAAATTTTACTTTGTCACTTTTTTAAATAGGTAAGAAATTGCCCTTTAAGTGAGGGAAATATGTTCCTATTTGTCATTTCAATACCTGACACTAAATTTTAAATTTATATTGTTTTCATTAATATGCCTCGTTCTATATGTCTCTGTGAGGCAAAAAGTGGGGGGCATTAGCTAAGGAAGGCCTAACCTAGGTGGGTAAGAGTTCATGAGGAACAGGAGGCTGTTAATCTGTATATTTGCAGCAGCTATGATTACTTTAGTCATGTCTTGGCATTTCTGACTATAGATTTTTCTTATTGGAATTGCATTTCAAAGATGAGTATGGTCATCTGAGAAAATGCTCCCAATGAATAGAATGCCTCCAGATGTATGGCTGAGTCTCCATGAGACCACTTGTGTTCTGCAATCTGACCATATATTCACACATGAAGTAGATCTCTTAAAATTAGGTGCATAGTATGATATAAAAACTTGGGCCTTCAAGCCTCTACCAAGGATGATAAGATTTGGGCCCATAAAATTATAGAAAATAAATGAAGTGCCAATTTGTGAATCTATGGGCTATTGCAAAGGGTCAATGTTGGCTTACTCCTGTCTTCATTTGATGTGTTTATTTGCATGAATGAATGTAAGAGATGTTTAATATACACTTGAATACATTCACTGCAGAAATTAAGTAGAAGTTATTTTTGCATGAAAAAATACAACTGCAAAGCAATGTTTGACCCCATTCACATTAGATTAAAGTTAGAAATTAGTTCGGGAGTCAGTTTTACCACCCCAAAGTGTTACATTTGCCTCCTTATCTTATTTTTAATTAAACATTCCCTATTCACAACACTTTTCAATTATAGTATTAAGTTTAAAATACAATTATTATAGTCTTAAATATGAAAACATAATGATGTATTATTTCTGAGAAATCAGTGAAAATGTCCATAGACTCTAATGTTTTGCTGTTTTAGTAACCAAATAACTTTTTTGCAGTTGGAGAGTAATAGCAGAGCAAATAATACGCTACTTAAAATTCATGGAACTGTCTCAGGCTCAATGTGGACATTAATTTAAGAACAATGGCAATTAAAAAAAAAAGTGCTGTAGGTAAAACTGAAATTGCAGATAGCACCTCTGACCCCACAGTTATAAAGCCAGTAACTTTTCAGTTGAGTAAGACAGAGTTGCCAAGAAACCCAGGCCCTTTCCACATTCTTCTACACTTGTACACGTCGACACTCCGTACATACAGTGGGTACCCCTTAACTTTAAAAACAATCACAAAGTAAAAAGCGATTCACTTTTCTCAAACTAGAATTTCAAGATGTAATATTATACTATGTCCTAGCTTTACTGAGTTTTGTACACAAAGACTTATTTAAACAGCCTTCTATTCTATTTAAGGGAAAATAATTGATGTGTGAATACAATTGACAGGAAGGGCATCAGGATGATACAGGAGATATGTGTTTGATCAGGTAAAGATAAATGTATCAAATTAAATATAACTAATTTGTTGGTGCCACAGAAATATTTTCTTTGGAATTCTGTAAATATGAAATATTTTCTAAAGCTAAAGTTAATATTTTCCCCTTTTTGGTTTGTTATAGGGAGCCGCTTCAGAAAACACTCTTAAGTCTGAATTCAAATCAATAAGAGCTTAGCTTTATTCACCTGGCCAGGGACTGTCACCCACCTATAGAGATGATGCTCTGTGGGAGAACAGCTCTTGTAACAGGTTTTTTTAATAGAAGGCAGCAAAATGGAGTCTTATGTCTATCTATGACTGTTCTTGCTTTATAATTGTCTTACCTCATTTATCAAAATCCTATATCTCTAATCTATATTTTTTACTAATCTATAACCTATAATTTATATTCTTATTAATTGCATTCATCAGTTCACACCACAACATTCCCCACTGGTTTTATGGGACTAAATCAAATCATTGATATTCTAAGTTTCAGTTTTAACTAAGTTTACCAAGTCATAATGATATTTTTTTAAAGACCAGCAGTTTAATCTTTAGAATCGGGCTTCCTGTCTTTTTAGAGGTGTGTGCAGCGTGCATGTCTGAAAGTGAAACAGAACAGAAAGTAAAAATATTGTTTATTGTCAGGTGTCTTCAGGTGGATTTTTTGTCCGAGTTGTTTCATGGCAGTTGGAGTGGTCAAGGTAACTGGAAAGGGTCTGTGCCAGCAAGGCTCTAAGGTAGATGGATGATGGCTCCCGGCTGGAACGGCTGAGTGAGGGTCTCTCTTGGAACTGGCTGCCGGCCTGCCTTTGTTAAAGCCTGAGTCTTTTGGGACGCTTGCTGGAGAGCCTGTAAGGACTTAAGAAGTGAGGGGTTACTTATTTTAGTTAGTTTTTTATCTGGGAACCAGCAGGGGTGGTCTTTTAAATATTATAAACCTTTTATATAAGGGGTGTATAAAAGGAAGGAAGTTGACCCAGTCTTTGTTAGGCTCCACCTTTAAGGGTCTTTTTTAGAATTTAATTTATCTTTTTTATTTTTCCTAAGCTCTAAAGTCAATATATAATATAAGTCCCATTTAATTTTAAAGACTTTAGATAAATTTTGAGTTATCTTAGCTATGAAAGCTGGTACCACAGAAATATTGGACCATATTGGACCCCATGGCTATTGGGAGGCCAAACCGGGCAACTATCTCCTTAAGTGTCCACATATATCAGTAAATATTTATAACCATACTGTCTAGGTTTTTCTTCAGTGAAGTTTATTTTTCATCTTTTTCCTGGTGTTTCTCTTTGTAGTCTGGTTCCTGTAAATTGGCTTACCTTTGGGTTAGGATTTACTTGAGCCTGGCACCTGGAAGAAACTTATCTTGTTAATTGAGTTAACTTAGGGATATAAAAGTTTTTTTGTAACAATTTAGTTACCTATGTGTGTTTCTTGATATAATTGTTCAATTAATAGTTTTTCCAATGTCTCTGGAATCAAGATCTTTTTGTCCAGTAGAATCTTCCATCCATTTTGGTCCTCGTCACTCTTTTAAGGTTTTTCCTAGGATTTTTTTTTCCCCGTATACATGGGGGAAGTAGGTAACAAATGGTTAGGCAGCAGCACAGGCAAAATCCATAAAGTCCCCATTGGTTTTAAAGCCATCTGTTTAGTTGTTTTGTCGGCAAAGGAGTTCCTTTTTGTCTCTGTTGTCTCTGTTCTGGTGGCCTCTGCAATGTATGATAGCCACTTTTTCTGGTAACCAGAGGGCATTTAGCAAAGCTAGTATCTCCTTCAGCATTTTTGATATCTTTCTTTCCTGAAGTTAGTAGCCTTCTCTTTTTATAGAGAGCTCCATGTACGTGAACAGTAGCAAAACCATATCTTCTGTCAGTATAGACGTTAACGGTCTTTCCTTTGCCGGGTCTGAGAACTTGGGTAAGTGCAATTACTTCTGTTTTTTTGGGCAGAAGTTTTATGTCCCAGAGGTTGAGCCCAGATAATTTCATTTAAAGTAATTATAGTTGCCCCCCACACCTGATTTAATTTTGGATGTAGCTGCTGCCATCAGAGTAGAGTCTCTTATCTGGGTGTGGCCAAGGTGTGTCTATCAGGTCCGGCCAGACATTCTGGAGTGACTCCCAAGATTTCCTGCAGTTGTGCAGCGGCTCAGAGGGACCATCGTCAGGAAGCTGAGGTTTTTAGGAATTTTATTCTGGGCTAGTCTAGAAGAAGGGCCTGGTATTGGGTGACACAAGCATTGGAGAGCCAGCGCTCTGGGGGGCTCCAGAGTAAGGTCTCCACAGCATGTGGGGCTATCACCTGTAAATCTTGCCCCAGTGTAAGCTTATCTCCTTCCTTAACCCGGATTGCTATGGCAGCGATGTCTCAGAGGCAGTTTGGCCATCCAGCCGCAACATAGTCTAGTCCTTTGGATAGGTATGCCACTGAACGTTTCGGTGGCCCCAAAGTCTGAGTAAAAACCCCTTTTGTTTTCCCCTGACTTCATGTACAAACAGTTGGAATGGTTTTAGAACATCTGGGAGGGCCAATGCAGGTGCAGAGACTAGGGCTTGCTTCAGTTTGTCAAATGCCTCTTGTTCTTTCTCAGTCCGAGTCAGAGAGTCCTCTTTTCTTCATGTACTAACATACAGGGGCTGAGCTGGTTTGGCAATACCCAGTGGCCCCGAGGAGCTCTCGCATCTGACACTTAGTCTTAGGGCGAGGAATCTGCATGATTGCTTTAATTCTGCCTGTGACAGAGTCCTTTTTCTAGGTTGTAGCCCAAGTAGGCGGCTGTTGAGGAGCATAATTGGGCCTTTTTTGTTGACACCTGTTACCCCAAGGTTTTTAAGGTTTTTAACAAGTCTCTAGTGGCCTGTTCACATTTAGTTATAGTTTTTGGTGGTTATCAGGAAATCATCTACATATTGTAAAAGTACAGTCTCAGGGTATTGCTGCCTGTAAGCCACAAGGTCCTAGCTTAGAGCCTCATCAAATAGAGTTATAGCATTTTTGTTTTTAAATACATGACAACAGTGGAATGCATTATACTCATTATTACCCAAGTACAGCACAATTTTTCATAACTCTATATAAAGTATGTTCACGCCAAATTATGCCGAGTTGGAGAGTTTTGCCACCCCTGTGGCAACTATGTCCAAGTCAGTTATCCTGAAATCTCCCATCTCAATCTGACCATTTAGAAGTAAAAATTGGTTGGCTTGTCTTACCCAATGGCAAGCTGAAGAAGGCATCTTTGAGGTCCAGGACAGTGTATACTTGCTGAGAAGGAGGCAATGAACTGAGAAGAGTGTAAGGATTGGTACCGAGGGATGAATGGTTTCCACTCTCATGTGGACTTTTCTCAGGTCCTGCATCAGTCGGTAGTCCTTTGTCTCAGGTTTCTGGACAGGCAGCAATGATGTGTTCCAGGCTGATTGGCAGAAGATGAGGATATCAGTTTCTTGCAACATGTAGATGTTAATGGCTATGCCTTTTTTAGCTTCCAGTCTGATAGGATACTGTCGGATCTGCACAAGGGTGGCAGTGCTGGTGAGCTGAACTATAATAGGTGGCTGGTACATGGCTAGGCCACGAGAATTGTTTTCTGCCCCTTTTAAATCTTGTGAGGAGATCGGAAGGTGGGGTATGGGTGTCTTCTGCTAACTGCAGGTATTTTTCCCCAATGGGACAAGTATATGTAATAGTTTTGGGCCCTTTAAATGACAGGTTGACTGTGCCTTTTTGGAAAGAAATGATGGCTTGCAATTTTTGCAGAAAGTTTCTGCCCAATAGTGGATAGGGGCATTTTGGCATTACAAGGAATGAGTGTGTTATTGTCCCTTCTTTCAAGTCAGTTCTCATTAGAAATTGGCCCTTCAGTTTCTGTTCCTGGGGGCTGTTGTCATTTAGGGAGTGGAGCCCTTAGGGGTTATTGTTCAGGAGCTCGAGACCTCGAGACTCTGACATAGCCATCACCAAGACTCTTGTCAACCTTTTGGTTTGTTTTTCTTGGGGGGGGGGGGTCTCTACTATTGCAGACCCTTTGGGCTATTTCCACCAATTTTGACAGCATCTTTCCCTCAAATTGTTCCTGTCTCTGTAATTTTCTCCTAATATCTGGGGCCGATTAAGTCACAAAAGCAATATTAATAGCCCTTTTATTCTCTGGAGCTTCTGGGTCTATTGGTGCCTGCACATGACAAGCCTCAAGAAGGCACTCCAGGAAAGCAGCTGGGGGCTCATCTGGTCCTTGAATTGTCTTGCTTACCTTTGCCAAATTGTTGGGTTTTCTAGTGGCTGCTTTGGTCTCTCTTAGTGGAGCCTGGCATTACTGGTTGGTTACCTCCTCACCTGTCCAATCGGGGTGAACTGAAAGGAAAATGAATTTCTCGTGAGGATCTTCAGAGAGTTAGCCATCAACACCGAGAGTAGTTTTTGGCTTTTCTTCTGATTTTAACAGGGAAATCACTAGTAGAAAAAGGAATATATATATAATTATAATGGGAAGGCTTAAGCATTGAGGGGGAACTCGGCGCCTGAGGGGCAGAGGGATCCGGAGAAGGAAGATCCAGGTCCTTGGAGCTCTTTTGCAGAACCTCTTTTGGGGAGGAAGGTTTTGTTTTTCGTAGCTGTTCCTGAAAACAAAATCTTAACCATCTTGGCTCCTCTAAGAAGATTTCAATCCAAACCTGTATACAGGGTAACTGATATGGATGGCCAGGCCGCCCGGAGATGACTCTATGAGCTTGATAGGTGGTGGAGAGGTCAGTGGTCCCTTCTGGGGGCCATCTGACTTTTAAGGTTGGCCAGTCTAAGTCAAAATTTTCTGAGAAAGGAAGCATTACATGATGTTACAACATATAATTAGTTGTTCTCTTTGAAAACTCTTTAAATTTAAAGTTAGACAAAAAAACATTTAAGGGGTGTACAAAATGAATATGAAGTGGACTGATTTTGACCTATAATGAGACACACAACAGACAAGGCGCTATAAAAAAACCTAATTGATCTGGGGTTTTTAACCCCAGATGGGCCAGTGAGCAGCTTCTCAACACTGCCCTGGACTGGGAAATATGTGCTGCATCCAGCCTTCCCTGATGTCCCCAGACTGTGGATCCACACAAACCAAGTTTCAACTTTCAAGCTTACCTTTCCCAGGAGAACTATGTCACAGGTGCAAATCGCGAGTGCTCTCAATACTCAGTTTGCAGGTTTGGCAGGAGCCAATGGGGAGGGGACCTCAGAGGCCTTCCCCAGGTTGTCTCCTCAGAGGTCTTCCCCAGGTTGTCTCCAGCTCACTGGGTTCTCCTGGGTGTTTCTTAGTGTTTTCCTATTTATGAGAAGAGAAATATCTCTTTCACCCCGGACGAGCCCCCAGAATATTATGGTGAGCCGCTTCCGAAAACACTCTTACATCTGAATTCAAATCAGTGAGGGCTTAGCTTTTTCATCTGGCCAGGGATGTCACCAACCCAGAGACTGAAGCTCTGTGGGAGAACAGCTTTCATTTCAGTTTCTCAGAAATTGCTCTTGTAACAGTTTTTGTTTGTTTGTTTTTTTATAGAAGGCAGCAAAATGGAGTCTTAGGCCTATCTGTGACAGTTCTTGCTTTATCTCACTTATCAAAATCTTATATCTATAATCTATATTTTTTTTACTAATCTATAACCTATAACTTACATTCTTATTGATTGTATGTATCAGTTCACACCACAACAGATTCAGCGTAATACTGACTTGAGACTTCCATTTTGAAATTGTCACTTAATCACTAATTGAAGCACCATTTCTTAATTCTAAAATCATTCTATTGCTTTCTTTGTGGTTTTAAAAATTATTTTAAAAGTAGACTAGGCAGTGTGATTTTCTGAAACATTTGAATGGTAGATTCAGAGTTTTTTAATGAATATGTATATTACATTACACACTACAGATTCACTGAGTCAAGTCTAAATTTGGTCCTAGACAGACTATAAAGAGGGAGTGTTTTTCCTGTTTTAGTGGACAATTTCAGTCTATATCCTAAGACAATCATCTTTTCAGATATAATATTGTTTAAAATGAAACATGGGTAACTTCAGATTTCAGATTTTTGCTCTTCTCACAGGCTTATGGAGTGAACATTAATAGGCTGGGTTATTATATCACTTTCCCAGTGAGGGTAGAAACTATGGTTAGCCTTCTTACAGGTAGGCAGTGAAAGGTATTTACATGTTATATTTATCACTAATATTATTTTATCATCTGAAACTTGAGAATGTCCACTTGTCCCTGATTCAAAATTGAAGGTTTTTTTGTTTCGTTTTGTTTGGTACTAGGGATTAAACCCAGGGGCACTTTACCACTGAGCCCTCTTTATTTTGAGACAGAGTCTTGCTAAGTTGCTGGGGCTGGCCTTAAATTTTGATCCTGCCTCAGCCTTCTGAGTCGCTGGCATTACAGGTATAAACATTATATCATAAATTGAATCATAAATTTTCTTTAAACACCAAATGAATATAAATAAGCATTGTAAAATCTGAAATGATTTATGATAATCCCCAAGTATTTCTTAATCACAGAAATAACCACAGTATTTTTTCAAAAATTTATTCCCACCTTCCTGCATATGCTATTGATTTTTTTTTTCTAAATTTAACATACCCAGTGTGATATGTTAAAAATCTGCAGGAAAACTGTGCTTTTAGTGTTGTAGTGCAATAAGAATTTTTATTCCTGTTTCCTGAAGGATTCTCTTATTATATCATTAAAGTTACCTTCTAATAGTTCAGTAATATAATTTAGAACTTGATTTTCATGACTTTTTAGTGTCTGGATGCATTCCTTTTACCACATAGACCCTACCACTAGCTTTCCAATTTTTTATTTTTAATAAACCTTGCTATTCAACTATCAAAGTGTCTTATGTTTTTCAGGATTCTTCCAGTTGAGGTAGTAGAGCTTAGATAATAAGAAACACAGATACAATGTCCTTACATTTTCATAGTAGAGCTTATTAGTGAAGGAATTTGTCCAACTGGGGTATCTTTATTTGTATAGCACCAGTATAAATAGGACTTGCATTCATCATTAAACCAGATTAAACAGTTATAGTTTTTTTAGTTTGCTGTAAAGAATATTATAATTTCAGGCCACTTATTTTCTATGAGCAGTTCCCATTGTAAAATTAAGTATCCTTTTTCTTTATTCAAAGCATTACTAAAGGTTAATTTAACCAAGTAGGAGAACAAGTTTTGTTTTTGTTTTCACAGAAAATAATGGTGAACCTATTGTCTACACTTTGAATATTAGGCAGAAATGCACTTGTTTAAATCATAGCAGAAATTACATTTGGAGGATATACTTAACTTGATTTTCTAGTGGTGTGAAATACTTTTTAAAAAATTGTGCTTGTCTGTAACTGAAATGTTATAGAATTGTAACACTATAAGGATTAGAGTTATATTAGCTCTCCTCAAGAGATTGAAGCACAATAATTGTCACGTAACAAACTTTATCCAAGTGCTGCTAATCTTATCGTGCAAATAATCAAGCTATTTGGTTGCCTATCTAGCTATTCACTGTAGTCCTTAAGAGTTAGTCTTGTTGTTCATTTGTATTAAAATTTGGGTATTGTAGGTTAATACTCTAGAACAAAATCCATCAACTCAGCTCTGTTAGAGGCAAATTGTTTGGATTCATTAGTTTTTAATGTGTGTTATTAGTAGAGTACATTTTGAAGGGGCTATTCACCAATGACTAAGGGGGAAATTATATTGTCAATATCATTTGACTTAAACATTTGTGGTGTTGTCAAGTCTTGTCTGATGGTGTTTCTAAATTGTTTAAGCCATATGTTCTCTGTAAACAAGGATTTTTGTTTTGTTTTGTTCATTTCCAGCAGCCTTTTTCTGCTTTGTCTGTTACAGTTAATACTTCATAGATTTTAGAAATTGAGAAGTTCTTAAAGCATTTGATTTTCTTGAGTTCACTTTTGGCTCTTGTATGATATGTGATTTGTCTAAAAGATAGCAAGCCTTTCACTACTTTACTAAATGAATTTCAAGTAAACACTGTGATTCTGCAGAGCAGATTCCATAGGCTTTCCCATGTTTTTTCCTTTCATACAGTGTCTACCACTTGGGGGGAGGGCACTTAAATATTAGAGGATGGAAAGTTAAACATTGTTGTTTTTATGTTTTATTAAATAACAATTACAGAGTATTTGATTTTTGTTGTCAGTGTATTAAAGAAATTTTTGCATTGATAAATGTTCTTTAGGAATGTGACTACATTCATCAGGTGTGAACTCTTGTAAATGAATTTTGTATCTTGAATCCACGTATATATTAAGTGTATCATCAATATAAAAATAAACATTATTTGCTTAAAGTTTTGTGTACTTCTTCAGTTTTGTTGATTATTTAAGTGCTAAACTGTTAGAGTTGCTTCTTTCAGATGACTCCTCAGATGCTTTGAACTATCTTAGGGTTGTGGATTCCGTGCTTATTTTAGTTTGTTGTTATCTCCTGCATCCTAATTTTTATTTTTCTGAGGCCTTTTCCTGGTGGTCAGAACTGGGACGAGGGCAAGGGTATTTAATTTTTTTTTTTTTTTTTTTTTTTTTTTTTTTTTTGGAGCCAGGTGATTGGCACATACCTGTAATTCCAGGGAGGGCTGAGACAGGATTGCAGGTTGGGAGGCAGCCTCAGCAATTTAGGAGGCTGTAATCAATTAGTGAGACCCTGCCTCAAAATAAATTTTTAAAATGTGCTGGGGATGTAGTTTCGTGGTAAACTACCCTTGGGTTCAAACTCCTGTTCCAGAAATCAATCCATCGATCAATTAATCAATCTGTTGGAACTTGCACTGGTGTTGGGTCTGGGCCAGGACCAAAGTTTCTTAAACGTGCAGCGTCTAACTCTAGCTTTGAGGAATCTGGAGACCTGCCTTAGGGTACTAAATTCGTAGTGACTTTCAACAAGGCAGTTTTTATGCTTTGGGCTTTTATCCTCTGTTATATAAAGAGGCAGCCCATTGGTGAATAGTCACCGCCCTGTAAATAACAAGCCGTATATCAGAGTGATGCACACTAGGGGAAGGTTCTGAAACCTTTTGGTTGTACATCCTGTGTGTGCTGGGTTGTGACATAAAACGTACAATCGACGGGATGTCGAGACGCTAAAGTTAGAAGAAGGGTCACAAAGCGCAAGGCGCAGTTTTAGTTTCGGCGGGCACAGGTTTTCCAGACTGCCTACTTGCGGCTGCATAGGGGGGTCTGTCCAGCAGGGCCCGTGGCACCGACTGCACGGGGCTCCTCCCACTTAGCCATCTCCGCACCATCCATTTAAAGAAAAGAAAAACAGCGACCGTCCTAAGCGAGCCGGTCAACAAGTGCGGGTCTGGAGTCTCGCTGACGTGGCTAGTGCGCATCAAGGAGCGCCCAGCGCGCCGTCCGTGCCCTCCGACCGTTCTGGCCAACAGCCGGCGACGGCTTCGCAAGGCCGCGGAGGCGAGCACTGGCGCATGCGCGCGGCAAGCCAACCCCCACGCAGCACTTCCGGCGCGCTGGGGGACGTGCGGTTCCGGGTCGCTGCTCGGCTCACCGGCCGGTGGTGGGGGCTGGTGACGCGAGCGGTCGCTCACGAGAGGCCCCGGAGGCGGGGCTCTGCCAGATGCCCAAAGAGCGGCAGGTGTGCGGGCCGGGGCCCCGGGGACGCGAGCAGCCCCCATTCTCCCGGTGGCCTTGGTGTCCTCAAAGCGGCCTTGCCGGGGTTTCCCGGGACCCAAGCCGGGGGGCGGTGCCAGGTGCTGTAAGGGGCAGGGTGGGAGCGGAGGCGGGCTGCCCCGGCCTGGGAGTCCGGCGTCTAGGGTTCCGGGATTCCTCCCTGCGCGACCGAGATGAGCCAGCGCTCCCTGGGGCCGAGTTTCCCCGCTGTCAAATGGAAGCGGTGTTGGTTCCTTCCCTTTGACAGTCAAGCAAGGGCGTGGCCGGAGGGGGACTGAGGGAGTGGCAGCCAAACTGCCTTGGCTGGTACCTCCAGACGTCAGTAAAGGTCCTACCTGTCTTTTACTCAACTTTGCCGTTCTTTTGCTCAGAAACTGCCTCAGTACGAATCCTGCCCAGGGTCTGGCCAGGTAAACAGTGTCTGTTTCAGCGTCAGCTGAGAAATAAATGCCGGCCCTGGGAAACCTTAATCTCATCAAGTTGTTTTGCCTAGGGCCCCCAAGGAGCAGAGAATTTAAGCATATGTTTTGCGGTGAGCAGTTCCGTCCTTTGTAACTGTGAGTGAAACTCTAGGCAAATCACAATTCATAGGGTCAGAGGTGAGGGACGGCAGTCCACTGAGTGTTGAGGTAGTGACAAGTTTTCTTCCCCCACTTAATCTTCCCTTCCTCTCTTCTCCATTTCTCTCCCCACCCTCATCTCCACCCACCATTTTGGTCTTCTATTTGGAATATCCAGCCCACTTTAGGTTTGTTTTCATGCAGGACAGAATGCATCGACCTCCAGGCTGTTGTAAATCTCGTAGATAAGCCAGGTGAGTAAGTGATTTACAGACATTTAAGGTGAAGTTTTTGAGGAATTTTTACAGACTTGATGATCTGAAGTGGTAAGAAGTCTTTTGAAGATCTTAGAGCAGAGTTTAGGTATCCTCCAAAAAACATGGAAAGTTAAGGCTGAAATCTGAATGTTAATATTTTATACACCATTGGGGGATATTTTTGTATCTCATGTTAAATATCGTGTCAGGTACACTGAAAAAGAAAAGAGATTGTGTGGGGTTTGGGAGTGCATGCCTTTAATCCTGCGGCCCAGAAGACTGAGAAAGGATTATCTCAAGTTCCAGGCCAGCCTCATCAATTTAGTGAGACCCTGTCTCAAAATAAAAAATAAAAAGAACTGGAGATGAAGCTCAGTGGTAAAGTGCCCCTGGGTTAGATACCCTGGGCGGGGGTGGGGAGTGGGAATTAAGATTTGAGGTAATTTTATCATACTTAAAGAAAACCCAATAGTATTTCCAGGAAAAGTTAAAGGCTATCAGATACCTGATATGTGGTTTTCTGGCTTGCCTGATTTTTTTCTAGGTTATGATTTTTTTTCTAGAAACAGCTGATTGCAAACCTGGAACATTAGAATATTACCTAATATTACCTAGAATTTCCTCATATTGAGTTACATGTTTGTACCATCAACTTCAAAAGGGGAAAAAGCACTCACCACTGATTAAACTTATTGAGACAAGGATTCAAAATCATTAATTTATGATTTTGTGATGTTAACCTGTCAAATTTTACTGTGTCATAGGCCACTGCCAACATGGTATAATTTAAAAAAAAAAAAAAAAAGGTTAGAAAGGTTGAGGCTTTTAAGTCAGGTTCTGTGTTCAAATACCAGCCCTGTCGGCCTTTGGCAGGTTCCTTCACCTCTTTGAAACTGGATTTCCTTATCAGCATGTCAAGCACCTGAGTGATTTTTAAATGTTTAGTAATTGTGTTCTACTAAGTATACATTTAAGTTTTGAAACTTAATTTTGAAACCTGAAGCTTAACATAACTCAAATGTGAAATCTTTCCTATGTTTGACTTATAGATATCTCTTTCATCTGATTTGTAGATACTGTGTTGCCATATGCCTTTGACCCACATTTAAGTTGGAATGCAGATAGTTTGGATGTCTGAAACTTTTTAGGCACCTTTGTCTGAATCCTGGTTATTGAAAACTATTGTGGTAGTTCAAGAACTGGTCATCTGTGCAGGATAGCCACATAGCAAAAATGTTTGCAAAACTAAAGAAGAAAATTGCAGAAGAGACTGCTGTCACTCAGAGGCCAGGAGGTGCTACAAGGATCCCACGGTCAGTGAGCAAGGAATCAGTAGCCTCTATGGGAGCTGACTCAGGAGATGACTTTGTAAGTATCTTCTCTAGCTTTGAATATTTGGTGCAGTATCAAATTTTTTTAAATTTTTTTTATTTTTGGTACTGGGGATTTAACTCATTAAAGGGGCGCTTTACCATTGAGCTACATCCCTAGTCCTTTTTACTTTTATTTTTATTTCACGACAAGGTCTTGCTAAGTTGCTGAGGGTCTCCTTAAGTTGTTGAGGCTGGTCTCAAACTTCCAATCCTCCTGCCTCAGCCTCCTGAGTTGTTGGTATTATAAGCATACACCCCCATGCCTGGCTTCAAAACAGTTTAAAAATAATGTTGCACTGAATCCTTCCAACATGTATTTTTTTATTGCATGATTCATCTATTTTGTAGTTTATAGCTGTTTAAGAACCTGATTATATATCTGGTTCTGTACTTAAGATACCTTTTTATTAGTGTTGGTTTGTTGATATTAAGGTAGCTTTCTTTTTTCTTATTTTTCAGTGAATCCCTTTCTATATTCTGTACATTGTCCTCTTGTACTGCTTTTCTATCTGTATAATTTGTGCATCTTCTTTTACATGCGGTCTGTCAAAATGTCTGAGCCTGTTTTCTATGCAGGCATATATATACTTTGTCATTGTTGCTTTAACAAGGCCTGCAAATTATGCCATAGTGCACTATTTTATTGGGAATATTTATGGAAAGATGGCACTTATGAATATAGTATGTCATGTTGTTTGTAAAGTGTCTTTGGTTTAATAAGATTTTTAAAAATGAGGATGCTGTTATATTAGAGAAATATGCTGAGCATCAAAATGTTATGTTTGACATTTGACAGGATCCTTGTAAGTTATATGACTTTAAAAAGGATTTTATAGGGGCTGGGGTTGTGGCTCAGTGGTAGAGCGCTTGCCTAGCATGTGTGAGGCACTGGGTTTGATTCTCAGCACTACATAAAAATAAATAAAGGACCATCAACAACTAATAAAATATTTTTTTAAAAAGTATTTTTAATGCTTGATATATATATAAAAGGATGTATACAGTGTACATATAAAGCATAAAGCAGGTTGGATCCCTAGCACCACAAAGAAAAGATAAAGCATAATGTGTATGTCAAGTATGAAGCAAGTAAATCTGTCACCCATCCAAAGAAATAGAACATTATCAGTATTTGCATGCTACTCTCCATTTCCCATAACCACTACATTTTGTTTTTAATTCCCATACTAATTAATATATAGTAACAGATACATATGTATTCATAAACAATTTTGTGTTTGTGTGGTCCTGGGGACTGAACCCAGGAGTGCTCTATCACTGAGCTATATCCCTAGCCCCTCCTTTTTATTTTTTCAAGACAGTGTTGCTAAGTTGTCGAGGCTTGTCTCAAACTTGTGATCCTCTTCTCTTAGCCTTCCAAATCACTGGAATTTCAGGCATCCACCACCATGACTATAGTTTATTACTTAATACTGCTTATTTTTGAACTTTTTAAAGATGGTATACCATAGTC